TGTTGCTACAGCATTTAGACTGGATTCATTCTGAAATATGTGAGGATGATGAATAATAATTTTTCTGCGAAGTTGGTTTATATTATTGAAAGATTATTACAGGATTTTAAATAGGCAATATTTTTTAACTCCAGAACATCCGAAATAACAGTGAGTATTTTTGTTACATTTTCTGTACTTTTTATTAGATTATGGACATGAATTTGCAACTTTTTATGTACTTGGACCCCAATTTTCATCATCTTTAGAGTCTGTGTTTGTCTCTTGTGTTATCACATGGAAGTCTAACTGCAGTAAGAGTACAACCTGATTCTGATCTGATTTATCTTCTGACTTTTTAGCTTCTGGTTACTTACTCTGACTTTTTAATTTCTGATTTTTCCTTTTGCGATTTTTTTATACTAAATATGATTCCATTATTATTTTAAAGTTCTGATCTTCTTTTTCTTACTCTTTTCTTTTCCAATTCTGAGAAACCTAAGTTTTTTCCCTGGCATTGACATGATTCAAATAAGAAAACAATTTTTATTGTATTTAATTAAGATATTACCTTTGAACAACACAACAGAAGTAAATGTATAAAAAATAAAACATACTTCATAAAACATTTCAAATTGCAAATAATATAGCAATAAAATTTAATGTAGTCTATCTCTTCAATTAATTTATTGAACACTAACACTGTTAACAGTTTCACTCACTACACTATTCAGTGAATGATAGAATTGTCGAGTAGATGTTAAAAAGTGAAAAGCATAACAAAGATATCTTTCTGGTGCGGAATTAATAAAAGTCCAAGGTTGAAAGGCTTTTATTATAACAAAAGACTATAGTGTATTATTTGTTATTGTTTTAAAATAACAAGTGTGAGATGTGCCTGCATTTAGTTTTAAAAAAATAAAAGTATATCACTATTTTAGAAAAATGGAGTGTTTACAAAGAAAGAAGAAAGAACGCTTTGTATGTGGAGATATTTGATTGATTTACTGCAAACATTATTTATAACATATTTTATCAGACAAATCAAGGAAGAAAATAAAATTATTATATGTTAATAATTATTAATTTGAAATATATTTCCCAGAAAACAATCGAAATAAAAACTGAAATTTCATGGCACCCCTCAGCAAGCAGCACACCGGGCATCTCCCCTCCCCTGCTATGCCAGCCACTACATCTCTCTGTTAGCAAATGGCATCATTGTTTTGGCTAAAATTTGTCTAATACTGTAACTTGCTTTCACTACCAAATCTGATATAAGCATAGAGCCTTAAATATATATATATATATATATATATATATTGTTGTCATTTTAAGCTTTTCTGAAAAATTCATTCAGTTTGCCTTTCTGCATTTGGTCTTGAATTTTTTTATAATTCATGTGATGTTTTGTCTCATAATGCTGTTTAATATAACATTTCTTTAATGTGGATACTAAATCTAAGCATAAAAGGCAAGCAACTTTGTCTTTTATAAGAGTGAAGAAATAGTCCAATTTCCCTTTTTCATTAAAACAATTTTTCATTTTTTATTGTTTATTTCAAGAATATGTTTCCAACTGTAAAAATAAGCCAAGTATTTAAAAAAAATAAGTAAATTAATTTTGAGCTGATTCAATTAGTTTTTAAGTTTAATAATACTGCTTACCTTTTAATTAAAATGACACACTAACAAGTCACAAAATACACACAAATTAAGTTCTCTGATTTGTGAAAAAACTTTTAATTAAACTTGGAGAACTATCATTAAACAAGCAGTTTGATTCCAAACGATTGTTGGTGGTAGATATGATAGAGGTGTGCATTCTTATGTACAGCTCGCTGGTTTTTCAGTAAAATAAGGGGGGGGGACCTATGTCTGACTTTGGCATGCATGAAGAGAAAAGAGAACAGTGTGCTACATGCTGTTCTTATGACAAAGTAGTGTCTTCTTTCTGGTATCTGGCAATAGCCTATATAGAAAATGCATCATTGCTGATTTTATGAGAAGTTTTTCAAATTCAATTCTTGCAAGATGTCTGTATTAAATATTTGTGAGGATTCATAGGAAATAAGACTGCTGACTCACCAAGAAGGATGATTAGCTGAAACTCTCGCATCTCTTTGAATTTACTGCAGATGGCATGGAAACTGAAGTTGATGAAACATTATCACCGAAGATGACATATGGACGATACCGAGATGACACAACTCAGTCAACAGATGACATATTCGGTTGCACTATGGATTAATGGTTTACATTCTGACTTGTGATTAGTCAGACTATGGTCAGCTATGATGCATATGTTGAAGAATAAAATAAGTTTTAAGCCTTGTTGGTTGATAAAATTTGATTTTGAACTCCACCAGTGTCTCTTCTATAAATCTGCAAACTCTAACACTACAAAGTAGATTCTATCGAATTTGAGCTTTAATGGGCGGCATGCAAAAGGGAGTCATGCCGCATGTGATTTGCAAGTTGCTCATCCCTGATTTTAAGCCTTTATATGGTGACGGTAATTACTTTACAGTAATTACTAAAAGAAGTCTGAAGTCTTAAATATTCAGTAATGGGCAAATATATATGACCAAAATGGGTTAGATGCTCATTTTTCATTATAAAATGGCTGAAGCATCAAGTGAACAGGGAAATTTTGGAATATTATCAACTAGTTGCATATTTGGTTCACTAATAATTTTCATTGTCATATTGGTAACATTGTGTCAAAGCATTTTGGCTTTAAAAATTTTTTGGGGGTTGCAACTGAATATTCATACATAACCAGGAAAATAAGTTTAGTATTGATGCTTATGTTACATATCACACAACAAAGTAATTTGCTGATTTTTTTTTTTTTAAATATATGAGCAAACGATAATTATATCTGAAAGTTACATTTTATATCACTTGAAAAGTACATGTAACTTAAATGTCATCACTACTCATTTGTCATTAGTATTCAGAAAATTTCCAGACTTTCAGTGCAGAAAGTTCTAGCTCTGGCAGTTTCTTGTAGCAAACATTCTTCATGAATAGCTGAAGTTCTCACCTTTCAACTGGCTATTTGCTGAAATCTAAGACTTACTAGATAGCATAGACTGCATAATTGCTGAAAAGTTATTTGTTTTATAGTTTACCCTAGCATAAAATAACTTCAGTCAAATAAACACATTTATTTTTTAGGCAAATAAAATAGATGTTTTTCTTTTTTTAAGTTTATGCAACTAAATGGTCTTTATTTTCTGGATGACCATGAGGTAAATCAATAGCATCTAACATGCATATTTTTGGAAGGAATTAAAAAAGTCAAATATGAGAATGTTATATTTTAATTTTATATTTTTCTCTTTGTATTCAAACTGGATGTTAAATTAACTGTGTCGTCTTGGAGAAATTTGGAAATGTTATTATTAGAAAAATGAAACATATAGTTAAATGAAGTGGTTAAAAAAAGCAGCAAAATTATGCATATTCATGAAAATGTAATTCTGCATTCATTTTTTAAACTTCTTGATTATTTATAACTATTTAACTGCAAATTCACTTTTATTTACATTTTAAATATCAGCTAGAACTTAAAATATAAATTTTGGCTAAGATGCTCGAATCGTGTCCTTGAGTCCAAGCTTTGTTGACTGGCTATTATGCAAAAATTATTTAAATTAAAAGCTATAACTGTATGCTGCAAAAATATGAACAGTTGAAAAGCATATTTTTCCTGAATTGAAGAAACAAAAAACAATTCTGTTCTGCCATTTACTTTCATAAATCGTAATTATACTTCACATATTTCATTAATTATTTAAAAATACTCAATTATTTGCTTTGTATTGTATTTTTCTACTTAACTTAAAAAGGATTTTTGAAGATGGAAAATTTTCCTCTTTATCAGCTTTTTTAATGTGTGTATACATACTAGAGAATACCCATAGAAAACTCATGTATATATTACACAGTAAAGCTATTAAGAGTCTAACAAATATAATTTATGATTGTCTTATCTTAGCAAAATTATGCCCTTGCACCTATATAATATGTGAGAAAGTAGTTTAAGATTATTTTAAAAGTTCCTGCCAAGTTTTTTAGAACTATGAAAGATTATTATAATGAACTTTAAACTGTCTCACATTTTCATCAATTGTGTGCTGGATTAAATATTTAAAAAAAAAATCTAATCTTGCAAGTATTTGGAAACTTTTGAAAAAGTTCTTTTACTAGTCTTCATTTTGAAAAATGCAACATTTTCCATGATTTAAATGATGCAGCTGCTTTAGTAACACAGTGTTTTCTTAACTTTGTGTCCTCAATTCGACCCATATCCATATGCTTTATATCGGCCCTGAAAGTTATTTTATAATACATTTTCTATTTACAGGGTCACTAAACTTCCTGAACTATAACAATTCTTGCATGTTTGGATAACTTTATTGTGAGATTGAGCAATATGCTAAATAATTGTTCATAAAAAGAGAAATGGGAAAATTATTGAAAAATATCTTTTTAACAGCAAATTTTTTAATGTTCTTAGTTCTGCAAAAAATCAGTTATCAGCAAGTTGCACTGCTTGTGTATAACACAGCAGCAATATAGTTTTATACGCTTTTCAGGTATATAACACAATTATTCTATTATAAAATAAAAAATTTTTGTAATAGTTGCAATTAATAGTTGCAGAAAACAGATAAAAAATAATTTATTTCTATAATTTTTCTTGCTACTGGAGTAAATCAATTATTTTACTCAAAGTTTGAATGTTAGGAAAAAAGCAATTAAAAAGGAAATTTCATCACTCTATAGCTTGGAGAGAATATGCTAGTCTGTTTTTCTGTCACAAAGCTTGGACTGTATTCGCCAGTTGGGAAGGAAAGTTTTTCAGATGGGTTTTTATGCATTCTGTATGTGTCATTATAATTATAGGGAATGTTTCTACGGGGTTTTCTAATTGTGAATACATTCTTGTGTACCCAAGAAACCTGTGAATGTATCGAAGAGTAAATCCTGCTCATATACTGTCAACTTAGCCCCTCCTGTGTTTTTGGAGAGACCAAGGGATCAAGAGGCAATTGAAGGAAATGATGTGGAGCTTTTGTGTCAAGTTGAAGGATCTCCCCCACCTTTGCTATCATGGTCGAAAGAGGGTAAGTGATGTTCACTGCTTTTGACTGTTTACTTTATATATATATATATATATACGCTACTTTGGAAGAAAGCGGTACAACTCGATAACCATTATTTCTGAGAAAATCTCTGAAGAAGAGTCAACCGAAGTTTAACTGAATATGAAAGGTGTAATTAATAAACATTAGTGACACCTTTTCCATTAGTGACACCCTGCCACATAAAAATATACCACATTTTTGCTGTGATTATGACATAACTGAACAACTGCAGTTTGAGTTATACCGGTTTTCTTCCAAAGTAACAAGGTGTTAAATTTTATGATTGTATGCTTACTTCTGCGTTCTAAACACTCCTTGAACTATAAAGGTTTTAATTATTTTTACAGTTATTAATTTTTACTTTTTTATTAATGCGATAATAAATGAATATGGATTTTGTTATATTACAGTAAAATTCCAGTTATCTGTACAACCTGGAACCAAGGGTTGTGCGGGTTGCAGATTATATATGATATCTTTTTCAATTTTGCTTATGTTTCTCCTGTCTGAGTTTTTACATTTAATTCAGACTATTTGCATATAAACTAAATGATGTAGCCAGTGAAACATACCCATACCTTAAGAACTGCTTAACCCTTTGCGGCATGGTGGGTCAATATATGTCCCACCTAATTAATATTTATTTTCTCAGTTAGCAATTTCCGTTAGAAATTTTCTAATCTTTTAAAAATAATCTATTTTAGTTATTATTTTTCTCAGTAGATGTCACTACTATACCAGGGCTTCAGTTTATAAGCAAAAAATATTCAAAATAGGATCACAAAAGTGATGTCCATGTATCTCGCATTTTACAATATTTTAAACATTTTGGTATACAATTTAGGATATGCATGATTCTTTTTAATATTCAAAGGTATTTTATTTTCAAAAATCTTAATTGGATTCAATATTTTATAACATTAATTTTGCAGTTGAAATAAGTGGGTTAAAATTTGTCCCACCACACACTTGAATTTCCGCTCAATAGATGGCAGCACTCACGATTATTTTTTCTTTTCTTTTTGCATCTACTTTTTTCGTGATTGCGCGCGCTTTTACATCCGTTGTATGCTCTGATGTGCTAAAATGTCTAGAAAAAAATTAACAACACAGGAAGCTTTGGATCTTTTTGCTGAATTGCCATCCGATTGCAAATGCTTCAGATGTCAGTTCTGATTCAGATGAAATTGAAATCCAAGAGAGAATAAATGAGGTTGAAGTTATTGCTGAAGAAGAAAGGAAAGTAGTTATAATTTGTTTCGCTTTTTAAAGACACAGACCAATCTATGCGTGTGGCTGCCATCTATGCATGTGGCACTGTAAATATGAATCGGAAGTATCTACCCACAAATTTATGTCAAGAAAATATATAGACTTTTCAGTTAGAGATGATTCAATTTATTGCATAAAATGGAAGGATAAAAGATCCGTTTCTATCCTGTCTTGCTTGGAAAAGGCAACTCAAATGAAAGAAATTAATAGAAAAGAACGAGATGGAAAGACAAAAAAAGTACTGCGTCCAAACGACATTATTTCATACAATAAGAACATGGGATATGTCGACTGATTGAGCAACTGAAAGGACTATATGAAATAGACCGCAAAAGCAAGAAATGGTGGCACATGATTTTTTTTTTTTTTTTTTTTACTTTTTAGAGGAGAGTATAGTAAACGCATTTATTCTATTTAAGTTTGTTTGCGAACCCGATCATGATGTAAACACAATGAAAGATTTTCTTCTCTCAGTTATAGAAGGTCTAATGGCACTTGCAGGCAAGAAAGAGCAGAAAAGAAAACTGAAATCCCCAGTTCAAATAAAAACTAAAAACCCGTTCGTACAACCAGAAAAGAGACTAAAAAATATAAGTCACATGCCAAAGTGAACGAGCAGGAGAAAGATGTGCATATCGCAGCACATCGAAAGAAGAACGACGAACATTTTGGATATGTGAAACATGTGAAGTGCCTCTATGCTTACAAAAGAATGAAAGATCATGTTTTTCAAAGTTTCATGAAAAATGACTGTTTTTCAGTTTTAATCATATATAAATGTTTTTGAATCAAGTGCCAATTTCAATATTTTATTTAGTATCATTTGTACGTGTATCAAATTTTAATCTTAAAATAATATTCAAGAAAATATTTTCTTTTGTTCTTAAAATTTAAAAATATTAAATATATATATGCAAAATGTGCATATTCAAAATTTTACAAGTCATGCATATATGCAATAAGTACAAAATGCATTTTAGTGCATTTATTATGAATATTTTAGAATGCACGCTTTATTTTGTTTATTCATTCCACATATGACTTTTTTCCCTGCTATACACCAATATGCTATAAGACATGTGCTAGTTGCATGGTGGGACAAATGGTATCCCACCTTCCCCCGTAAAAAATAAAAGCGCAGAATTTTTTTCAAGCCTTAAAGGCACTTAAGTAAGTCCATCTGACTTATTCTAAGGCATTTTTTTAAAGATTAAAATATATTTTAAATATGCGTGTCGCAAAGGGTTAACCAAGATTTAAAAAATACAAACTATTATAATTTTTAAGTATAGTTACATACAAAGGAAATTATGTCAGTAAATATTGGAAAGAAAATACATCAGTGAAAAGGAAAAAGGATAAATCGGAGGGAAATATTTGAGAACATGGAAGAATTTTTTTCATTTATATTATAAAAGACGTTGGTTTTATATTTAAAAATAATTAATTTTTTGAGAGTAATCAAAATTATTTTTAAAGTAATTTTTATACTTTTAAACAAAGGAAAAAAGTAAGTAGATAAATAAAACCCTGTTTACAAATTGCACTGCAGGTGTTTTTCTGAAACCTAACCACCATGCTAATTTTGCTATTATATTCTACACAAGTGGATTAATATCACTTTTTAATTGCTAAGCGTATCTTGAGGAAAATTTTAGATCAACATATTTGAAGTTCTACTTCATATAGAAACTACAGTCACACTTTCTCATACTTCTTAGATTGAACATGATGTTAACAGCATGCAGCTAGCTTCCACTAGCAACTGCATCAGTGGCTTTGTGTTAATAGAAATTTAAGATATTTGTGATTTTTATTTAAAACCCCTAAACTGAAGATTATTCAATCGTGATGGAAAGCACAAAAGACACATTTGTAATCTTTAAAAAGTCTCTTTGGAAGTCCCCCCCCTTTTTTTATTCCTTCTTTTAAGGAATAAAGGGTAAAAATTTTGCAATTTTTTTTTTATTTCAAAGAAGTACATTTGTCCTTAGTATAGTAGTTTTATGCATTTAATTTTTTTTAGTTATTACTGAAGTTGTAATGGTAAATTATTGAATCATCATTAAAATAAGCTTAAATTTTTGTTTGTTGAAAGTTTCTAATATGGATTAAGAATGTGCATTTAATATATGTTAAGAAAGTGAAAATAAAGTTTAAAAAATCTTAGAATGATTTCTTTTTCAGGAAATTTTATCACAAGTGGTGGGAAAGTCAAGCTACTGAAAAATTCCACAGTACTTAGTATTGAACTTGTTAATAAGCAAGACGAAGGAATATATACTTGCCATGCTGAAAATGCTGCTGGTCAAAGGAATTCTAGTGCTTTACTTATGATTAGGGAAAAAGGTATGTGATAAAAAAATAATTTTAATATAATTAAATAATCTATATATGTGTCTTAATTAATAATCAGTTTGCTACTGACTACTTTATATAAAAATGATGGGAAATGCAAACATTATAGTTTCTATAGTCAGAATCTTATTTCTATATTTTATATAAACATGATCTAAATTTTGAAATACATGATTAAAAAAGTAGAATATTTTACACATTTTTCAACTTATTAGCACTTAAAAGTAAATTTATTTCTAGCAGTTCTTTACACTTTACAATGCATCTGAGAGATCTACTTTTCTTTATAAATTTTTAACCTTGACTTTACTGTTAATTATTTTTTGATGGATTTTTAAAAACCTCATATATATATATATGAGGTTCATGTTCATATATATATATGAGGAAAATTATAAAATATATATTATTTCATGTTCTAACAAAGTATCTATAATGTAATTATATTTGTTCTTGCACTTAAAATTATTCTGAGATATTAGATTATATATCAGGTACAAGCCTGATAAATTAATAAGCAACTAATAACAAAAAAATCTGATGTGTACACCACATGACTTCCTTGTACGGAATATTAAATTATACACATTTTTTCTTGCATTTCATTTAACTTATTAGATTGAATTAAACCTACTTCGCCGACAGCACATAAACCACAATAGAATAAATGCATTCTTTAAAATTCACTTTGTTTACCATAGTGACACTCTGGCGCTAGGTTTACTTAACAGTATTATATTTCGTTCATATTATAACTCAGAATGCACAAAAATATCATTTAAAGAATTATCTAATCGTTGCCACATGTTCTATTCAAATACTATAACAAAGCTAGAATGATATATAAAATAAATTAAGCAAACAAAACGAAAAAGAAACAGTTTTTCACAGACGATTGAGTATTTCTCATTCAATTAATTCAGTTTTCACTTCACGACAAGGCAAAAATACATAAAAACTCAAAATATCTGTATTAAAAATTACGAAGTAAATCTTAAATACTTATTTCCTCGAAAAAACTCCAGAAAGGATTAAGCATGATTTAATTTGCAATAATAAATAAAGGCTTTATTTTTGTGTTGCGAAGCTTAGTCTCTCTAGATTGGCAACAAATCTGCAATTCTGCTGTTTCAAACGTAAACAAATATGTCCGCCATGTTATTTAAAATTTAACTGCACTTAAACAGCTTTTAAATTGTTGATAATTGTACAAATATTGCTTCCAGAATTACGAAAGGCATAAAAACTTTAACCGGAAGATAAAAACAACATAATTCAATTATTTTTAAAGCAAAAAATGTACAATTTACAAACATATAAGAGTAAAGAAACAGATCACTGAGCCGGGTAACAGAGTGGATATATTTATAAATATGCTTATATACGTTTCGCGCGGCCGATTGAAACCAAAATATGAGGTGCACATCTACATGTTATAGTAGTGTTATATACAAAATTTGAACGTTCTGAGGCTACTCATTTTTGAGTTATGCGAGATACGTACGTACGCACGCACGTACATACGTTCGTACAGACGCCACGAAAAATTCTCTTCAGAATTCATTTTAAAGCAGTTTTTTAGTTTTTTTGGAGGAAAAGAGTCTTTTATTCTGTCCTTACGTATAGATATCACGCAAAAACATCATTAAATTGCATTTGAAAGCGGTCAAAGTGGATATTTTCGTTGAAATATGCTGTCTGAAGCTTTTCCCGATTACAATACTTCCTTTTTACTTCGTACAAGGAAGTAAAAACCAAAATATTAGTTAAAAACATAATGTGTACTTTTGATTAATGAGAATTATAAATCTTTTGTAAATAATAGAGTCTTTATCTTTCAGATTAATTACTTAGAAACATTTTTTTTAATCTTTGCATTTTATGCAGTATGCATTCATATGTATAAACTTGTAGATTATTACCCTGTATTGACATTTTTCAATACAGAGACTTACAAGCAGTTTAATTTAATAATATAAAGTCATATATAGATGACACAATATAAACATCATGCTGAATGTTTAGAATTCCGCCCCATTCCTTATTATAAAAATTATTTCATGTATGATATTTTATATTTGTGGCTAAAAATCTCACATATATATTTATAAAGTTTGCAGTTTGTAATTTTTTTAATAATATATAAATATTATAAATATGTTTATAATATTTATATCAGAATTTAAAAATACATTTATATGTATATTAAAGTTTTATGAAATTGACTTCTTAATATATTTTCTGTCAATGCACAGTGCCGCCTGTATTTTCTCGCATACCAGAAGATCAACAAACTCATGTGGGTTCCAGTGTTGAACTTCCTTGCCATGCTCAAGGTCAGCCTTTCCCTTCTATTAAGTGGAAGAAAGATGGAAATGTACTACAGACAGAATCAGACCATCATCGAATTAATTCACATGGAGATTTATACATGTTTAATATCCAAAAAACAGATGCTGGAATTTATGAATGCGTTGCTATTAATGATGTAGGGTCTGCCTATGTATCAATGAAACTTACAGTTGCTGGTAAAATAATCCCACTGTACTTAATAATCACTATTATTTAATTTTTAACTAATTAAAATACAAGAAAGTATGTATTATACCTACAAATAAGTATCATGTATCTTCATTACCATTTCTCATAAATTATAATTTTATCTGTATTAATATTTTTAGATGGCCCATACACCGGAAGACCTGGTGATCGCTATGTCATCAGTGCACTTGATGAAGCTCGGCAAGAAATTGATAAAGCTTTAAATCATACACTTTATGAATTATTTGAAGAACCTCATAAGCGGATGCCAGGAGAATTATTACAAGCATTTAGATTCCCTACCAATGAGGCTAGAGAAGCTGCACGTGCAGCTGAAATTTATGAAAGAGCTTTAGAAATTGTATGGGATCATGTGCAGAATGGAGCCCAGTTTAATCTTACGGGTATGTATATAATAGTATTTTGTACTTTCTAATAATCACTTAAGAGAAAATCTTGTGTTTCAGATTGAAAATTTATAATGAGAACTAAAATACAGCATGCAATGTTATAAAATCTAAACAGTGTAGAAATAATAAATTCATGTAAAAAGATATTAAATGTGTGAGGAAGAAGCTTATATTTGTTATAAAATAAATAAATGTTCACTAGCATAGGGAGACAAAGTATTAAATTTAGCACCATCACCATTTTCTGTACAAAAAGGATGTTTTAATGAACTGTTGCATTAACAAAAATGTATGAGAATTTATCAAAAAACTTCCTAACCATTTGGTTTGCTAAGTACAAATAAATGTAGTGAGAATCATATTTTTTGCAAACCCTTTCTATATGCTTTTCCTTACTGCCGCATAATATTAAAGTGTGAGCATGGAATTTGTTTATATAGATTTTGTTTTAACTTTTTATTTATTTATTTTATTTATTATTTATTTTGTAATTTTGTCATTGAACAGTAACACATATTCAAATGAAATTTTTTGTGAAGCTCAATAAATTTGCTGTTTAAAGTTTTGGTGTTCCTTCATGTTGCTTTTGATGATGATACTTAAAATCAGACGGACAATGTGAATGGCTCCTACATTTCAAGGCTCATCAAGTTTGATTTAAAGATAATGAGCATTTAGGGTTACTAAATATGAGCACAATGGCAGAGAATTCTGAAGAAACTCGAAAACGTGTCCAGGAACTTAACTATTCATGAATTTGCAAAAAATACAGGATTTACTTATGAAATTTGGCAAGAGATTTTTAACAGAAAGTTTTTTTAAAGGTTGTTTTACCTGCTTTTGCGTTGCTGCCCTCACACCTTTGAACATCATGCAAATTTAGGTAAATAATCAAAGAAGATTTCATTTCAAGTTTAAAATGCGAATAAATTATATCAGAATGCTGTGGAACCTTATTGAATAGAATATCTTGAATGTTAGCCTTGTTATGAATATTATTTATTATTTTATTCTACAAATGTACAATGTCTGCATTTAACTGCATTCAGAATTTAGAAATATTTTACAGTGCAAGTAGCTTAAAATTTTGGTAAGTAAATGTGGCACTAGGCTATAATAGGTACAGCTATTTAAATTACGAGGGGTGATCCAAAAAAAAGTTTACAAGGCAAATGAAAAAGTATTTATTAACAATAGAAACAAGATACAAATGGGAATCAAGAGACACACCTGGCCTCCACTTTTCCACATAGTCGCCAAACCTGTTTAGGCATTAGTCAGAACATTCGACCAACTTGTTTATCCCGTCTTGGTAGTAATCAGAGCCCTGCTTATTAAGCCATTTCTCAGCAGCTGTTTTCACTGCATTGCCTGAGGTGAACCATGTTCTGGATAAGTATCGCTTCAATGCTGGAAAAATTTCCACTCCATCGGGGCTCTTTTGGATGTGGTGGTGAAGTGATGGAGCCATGTGCCATGTTTCATTACAGGTAACGATGTGATCAATGAAGTGTTGGCCGTCTGAATGGTATCGCTGAAGAAATGTGAGGCTGCACATCATTCAAGTGGCCTTATGCTTCGCGGATAACGCACGTGGAACCCAGCGGGCACAAACTTTGGAATATCGCAACTCATCGGTTACGATACACTGAACGTTACCATAACTCAGATCCAACTCTGAGGCAATCTCACGCACGGTTACTCGTCGATACCTTTGGATGATTTCTTCAACACGTGCCGTGTTGATATACGTCCTTGAAGAACTTGGACGGCCGCTCGCTTCCATATTGCGGTTTTCCACATGCTCCCTGCCCGCTTGATAAGAATGACACCATTTCGCTACCTGTTGTCTACTCATTGCTTTTTCCCCGTATACCTCAACGATTTGTGAATTTCGGATGCGGCCACATTCTTGGCCCATAAGAATCCAATTACGGCTCGCACCTCTATGCGAGACCACTTTTCTAGACGTCATGCCATTACTGTCGCTCTTAAGTGTCTGCGTACTGATGCTACTTACTTGTAGAACCGCTGTAGGACAACTAGCGCCATTTGTCAACCACCCTGGGTGGAAATATTTGCTCCACAATTATTACGTTTTAAATGCTTCTGCTTGTAAACTTTTTTTTGGATCAACCTACGTATGTTTTTAATTCATTAATGCATGGAAAAAATTTAAATATGTAAATATAATCGTTATTACTAATATTGCACATTTACTTATTTTGAATTTTAATTTCAATTGTAAGTGTTAGAATTTTCTGCTTATATTATAACAAATAATGCATGCAAGAATTCAAATATTTGGATGAAAAGTGAATTTTATGAGTATTATCTTAACTGGAAAACAAGCTTTGGGCACAAAGTGATGTATTTAGTTTGAAAAAGTCAAAATATATTTCTTTGTATTTGTTTGCACAAATTTTGTGAGATTTTTCATTTCATTTTATTTTTTATATATTATTAAAGATAGGATGCAAAAAGTAAAAGCTAATGAACTGAAAAAAGTACTACGATAAAAACATATGTGATAAAAAGAATGTTCATTCCACCAAGTGCAAATGGAAAGGATGTTGTTCAGAAAATAAGTAAAAAATATGTAACAAATATTTATTGTATACTTTATTAAACTTTTATGAGAAAATTATTCAAGTTTTATGAAAATCATTTTGTAGCAGTTTTTTTAAATAAGTTATATTTATTATGTGTAAGAATATGTTAATTTTCAAATTAAAAAATTTTCATTTGTTTTCTGTTCTGTTTATATTCCATGTATTATATTAAAATGTAATTTTTGTTTAATTTTATATGTTTTAAATTTAGAATTTTCATATTCGGATATTTTATCGGCATCGAATCTGGACTTGTTAGCAAATCTCTCTGGTTGTCTTATTCATCGTGAGTTACCAAGTTGTTCTGATATGTGCTTTCATGGTAATTATAGAAGTTTTGATGGATCTTGCAATAACTTCAATAATCCAAGATGGGGAGCATCACTTACTCCTTTTGTTAGACTTTTGCCTCCTGTTTATGAAAATGGATTTAACACTCCAATAGGTAAAAATATTTCATTATGGAATGCTATTTTTAAAGCACTGTTCTTTATTATAAATTACTTATAATTTTCTTATTTTACATAATTAATTTCTGCATAATAAAATATTTTTGAAAGTCTTAGAAATAAAAGGCATATCATGCCTTTATTGGTAATTAATTTATCATGTTGTAATATGCAGAAATAATTTGCTTCTTTTAAGCTGCTTATTGTTTACATGTTTTCCTCCAATGCAAGTAATGTAAAATAAATATAAATTTTACCTGTCTTTTAAATGCTGATATGAACATAAATATCTGTAAGTGTAGTTAAATAAATCTTTGTTATTCTCTAATTGTCTGAACTCCCAAGAAAAGTTGCCAATTCTCAGGCAACTTTGTTAATTAGTAAGCAGTGCCTGTTTGGCCATCTTTGCAACTCATAGGTACTGTTCTGTTCATAAATAATAATAAAAAAGCGCATTTATAAGAAGCAAGAAGTTTTATGAGAAAAAAAAATAGAAAGCCTATATGGCTCATTATTTAAATTTTTCATTTGGAATCTTGTTCAATAAAATGCTGTTTAAAGTGTACAAATCCATATGTACTCATAAACAAGTATGATGCATGCAATGGGGGGGGGTTGGCTATTATTACATGTATACTTAAAAATATGACAGTTCTACTAAATGTTAAAATTGGGAATACAGATAGTCAGAAAGCACCAAATTGTTTTATTTGCATATAAATATTATATGTATTATAGCATTTTAAAATTAAATAGATGCTGACATATACAAAGAGAAATGTATTTGTGTAGTGTTGCTGATTATTGTATTACATTTTTAATAATGATTCTTCAAAAATTCATACTATATACTTGAATTATGTATTTATTTATATCCTATCATATTCACTTTCGTAGTATAATTGACTCTAAAATATTTCTGTTGTAGTATGGTTGGTTTTTTAGCCAATATGTAATTAGGCAATCGGGTACTGGTAAAAATAAAACTGCATTAATATTATGCATAATTTAGACAAACTTTCTTTGAATATGCTGCAGCTGTATTGCATATTAAAATTAAAATAAATGTCACAATTTTAAATATGTGTTGAATTGTATTTTTTATTATTAAGCAGTTTTTATTAACCAATTATAAATTTAAAAAGTATTATATTTTGTAATATGCAAAAAATTAAACTGGCTCGATTTTTTTCTACTTTTTTTTGCCCTTTATGATCAATATGTGATCTTCAAAATTGTTTTTTAAATCTACATGTGGAAATTCAGAATAGTGACTTTTGATTAGTTAATTAATTAAATATTCAATCATCTTAGAAAAACTTTGCTATTATATTGTTGTATAATTAAACTATTGAACAATTAGAACAATATAACATAAGATATTACAAATGTTACCACTTAATATCAATTTCTGTGTAATGGAATAATCATGTTAATACCTCTATTGTAGATGGTAATGTGTGAATATGTGCAACATAACAAAATCTTTTCAACCAATACTGCATCATTCACATGAAATAATAATTCGAGTAATGATCAGAGTAAAACATAAACAATAAAGCAATTCTAAATTACAAACATTCTAAAATACATTTGTTTGTGTTGTGTGACATATGTCAGGCAGTAACCCGTTCAAATACTATGGTCCAGTGCAAAGTTAATTAAAATTAAATTACAAACAAGGTAAGTAAAATCAAACTAACATTTATGGTGATAAAGAGAAGGAATACAAGTTACAGTTTACATTGGTGGTGACCGGTCATTTAATATCTGAAGAAACAACAGAAAAGGATAGCGTACCCTTCTTTAACATATATAACTTTTCACAGTTCCTGTTTGGGATCCATCATACAATTTTTGGATTACTTGATACAGGCAAACGGCGACGGTGAACAATTTGGTCTCATGGAAAACTTGGAAAATTATCTGTAAGAATAAGAAAAGTTAAGTTGATAAAATTAAACAAAGGCTATTTTTTCGGAGGCCAGGCTTCCCTCCTATTGCTGCTTCCAACCAGTAGGACACAGGTCTTCCCTCCACAGGCCATCATTGAAAGTGTAATTTGGTAAGAATTATAGATGTAGTACGCCTCTCTTCGGTGCCGGTTATTTTACGTTGCTACGTCTACGATGCAGCTGCCCTCTAAGCTGCACGGCAAAGTTGACATCTTTTTATTCTTCTTGTACTTCGAAGGTCTCATGAAATTTCTTTTCTCCATCTCTCTCCTCCTGAAAACACTGCGCAGCAGCCACTTTAATAGCTGGTGCGTTTTTTTGAAAAATTTGCGAAGAAGGTGATCAGCAGGAAGCCAAGTACAGCAACTCAAACAGAGAAATCTTCATGGGAAAGGATTTCCCGACTACCAGAAGAGCCAGCAAGCGCAGTTCAACCATTCGGCCTCCAAGGCCACTCCCATGGGTCAACACTCTCTGCAGACGAAAACAAGGGGGGCACTATCCTCGATCGAGGTGCAACTCGACCATGTAGAGCTTTCTATCCAATGACTTCCCCCCCCCTCCTCAATAACTCACTGTAGAACCTTTCCCTGTTAGAAATGTCACAGCAACCAAGGTCCCATTTAAGTAAAACTGACGAAGCGCTGATAAGAGAACATGTGGTGGAAACATTACATGTGTTTTCATGCTTGAGCGAAAGAATTTTGGGGTGTAGTAATCCTCTGATAAGGGATTCTGAGAATGAATTCCGAGCCGATGGTTGGGATGAAAAAATTTTCAGAACCAGTGAATAGTTATTCAACACAAACGAATTTGGGACATTAAAAATTAAACTATTACATAACAGTATAACTCATTAAAAAGTCAGTGCTATATAAATTATTTCTTCAGCAGCATTTTAAGTATACACACTCATTAACCAGATTGAATTTCAATTACTATTGATTTACCTTATCACCAGTCAGAAAATATGTATTTAAACAACTTTAATAGAAAGAGGGGTAAAAATTAAGTTACCTTAAGTTAAAAAAAAATAACACACCAAAAGTGTCGCAAACAAAACTTTAAAATAATTAAACAACCTTAAGGGTCAAAACAAAAGTACAAAACCCAAGTAAACTTAAGTCTCTAAACTCAAATTAAAAACTAAACAACTTTAACTTAAGAAAACTTTTAAAGCAACCAACCTAAATTTAGAGTTTACAAAAGTTACAGTTTAAACTTACAACCAACTTTAAACAACTAAAGCAAAAAAAAAAAAAAAAAATTAAGAACTTCAATTACAGATCAAAACTGAAATAGTAAGCAAAACTTAAGCTTGAAAATAATAACAATTAATACATAACAAATCCTCCCCCATTCCGAAAAGAAAAATTTTGGTTTACAATAGTTACAGTTTAAACTTACAACCAACTTTAAATAACTAAAGCAAAAGAAAAAAAAGAAAAAAAAAATTAAGAACTTCAATTACAGATCAAAACTGAAATAGTAAGCAAAACTTAAGCTTGAAAATAATAACAATTAATACATAACAAATCCTCCCCCATTCTGAAAAGAAAAATTTTGGTTTACAATAGTTACAGTTTAAACTTACAACCAACTTTAAACAACTAAAGCAAAAGAAAAAAAAGAAAAAAAAAATTTAAGAACTTCAATTACAGATCAAAAACTGAAATAGTAAGCAAAACTTAAGCTTGAAAATAATAACAATTAATACATAACAATACTGAGAATGTTGTTTCCATTCATAAGGAAAATTCACCAAATTTTGGTTTCAAGGCCAGGGCATGGCAGATAAAAATATATTTTAGGAATGTACTAACAGTTATTTTAATTTTTGAACATTTCCTGAATTCTCTTATTTTCCCTTTCATTTGCTCGCCAGGAAGCAAATTACAAGAGTATGTTGAAATAAATAGGTTAGCTAGAGTGTGATTTCACTAGTAAAGTGCACATTTACTATTTCTGTTTTCCAGCTGTTAATTTTAGTAGCAGCTACACATTCTAGTCATCTAGTCAGTATATCGCTGGTGTAGGTTTCTGAGTTAGCCTATTATATTTAATTGAATTTTGTAGTCTGTCACTACCTTTGTACCTTTCATATTTATTGTTATCGTTAAGGCTTTTCCGCAAGTAGATGGTGTCTTCATGTAAGCACATAAGTCCATGCCTTTTGTTATTCAGTTTGTGACAAATAAAGTCTTTTGCACTCTTTCCCTGTTATTTCATCTTCATGCCTGTGCTAGAAGCTGCAAGGTATGAACTTTAAGTATGTAGTTACCACTTCATGCTAGTTACCACCACCAAACACACTAGATCCCACAATATGATTTCAGTTTCTGAAAAGTAACAGGAATAGTTCAAATAGGTAGAAAAACATTTAATACATGTACTAAATTAAAAATGCTTTAATAGTAGCTTTTTTTTTTATCTTACTATTTATATCTTAAACTATGTAAGTATTATGTTACGTCTAGGTTAATAGTTTAATAGACATTTCATCACTTGAAATGCATCTATTAAACTATCTGTAATAGAAGTATTTCAAGTGATGAAATGTATAAAGTTGGACTGCTTAAATGTATGCAGTGCAGCATATAAACACGTGTGTGTGTGCGTGTATGTATATTAAAATCAAAAATTGCTAAAATTTAATTTATTGCATGCAACACTCATTGCGATTTAAAGGATATAGGGCTAAATATGTGTAAAATACAGTCAAAAGTCTTTAATCCAGACTCATCGGGACTTCGGCGATTCCGGATTATAGATCATCAGTTTAAATCTGGTAAGATGGCATGCAGAAATTATAAAATTAAAAATATGAAACCGTAATTTATAAAATAATGAGCAATTATGATCTAAAGGGTATAAAAATTTGCAAAAAAGAAGCTTAATATTTATTTGTTTACTTTATTAAACATTTCTTTCAACGCGTGCATGCGTAAAGCATACCTTACGCATAGCTGAAATTAGAAAATTGCAACCAGAAAACTATTTGATTTGTATTCGTGATATTTATAATGACGAGGAATTTGATT